ACCATGAACTCGCAATACCCTACCCAGTACCAGAGCAGTCTCCGCCGAACCCCGACCTCGTCAACGAGCTCTACCACTGGCACGCCGAACCGCTCCAACAGTGGCGCCCTCCGTCGCTCCTCGTCCACCCGCTCCGGCGGCAACTCGCCCACCTCGTACGTTGCACTCATGCGGAAACAAAAGGCTACTGTGTGGTGTGACCGGGCCCAATACGAGGACCCCCGCATGCTTGCACAGCAACGGCAGGCTAAGATGCGGGCAAACATGGAGGTAGCAGGCGGACCCCACCACATTCCCCCGCGAAGTGCTTCAGGAGGATCAAGCATGACCGGCGGTGTGCGGTCCAAGATTGGGCGTCACCACGGTCTGCCAAAAGCATCGCTATATGCACCTGTCACGTATGCAGGGTCTGGTGTTCCTATGCGCCTCAGTGCTTCCGAGGTGGACGAGGGCGACGACGAAGACGCAGGCTCAGTCAAGAATGGCCAGTACCACCACCGCACAGGTTCAGGCCGTTCCTCGCTCGGTTCAGGACGACGCATGTCCTACGCCAACCCCACCGGCCGCATATCCTCTAACAGCACTCCCCCGCTAAACTCATCCCCGGACGGCGAGCTCGCCGACCTCAAAGAAGAGCCCACCCCTTCACCAGCCGAATACGATGTCAACGCGCCCAACGACAACAGCTACTTCCAACATACCAAGACCAACACAAGCACAGGCAGTGGCAGTAGTGGGGAACGCAACTTTGGCGACGTGGGGCAAATGCCAGCGCCTGGAATGTTGAAGCCACCCGCTGCGACAGATAAGAAGGGCAGTAAGGATGACCTGGTTCGAAGAGGCAGTGTGGACGAGCGGACCATGACCATGGGGACGAGGCTCTTCGTCGCAAACCCCGATCTTAGCGATTGAAATCACGCATACCCAACAAGCGCGTATGGACGAGAGGTTACCTTTTCTGCGATACCCGAAACAACGATTTTATTTTGCCACTAGCACCACAGCACACGATTACCACATACACAAGGCCACGATTCACCGCTTTCTCTTTTTACCTCTCGAAGCATGTTTAGCATTTCACGGCCTTGTCTATGGCACGTTTCCAAGAGCAACTACACGGTGTTTTCTTGTTTGGATGGCACATGCATTTTTCCCTATGTTGCTCATGTCTCTTTTTTTTCTTGGCGGATTCCTCAGTCTTGAGCGTGCAGAGCGATTGCCCTGGAGGCTCTCGCTCGTTCGATACTCGACATGTAGTATCTGTAAATAAATACCACATCATACCCGCCGCCAGCTGAATGCGAGCATTGAATACAAACACGAGTAATCCTTCATCCCCGAGTTCACAATGATCCCATGCCTACATCGCCTCTACATGACCTCGCGATTTCGTCACTCATGCTGATCTTCATTTCCCTCTAGCATGTATGCCTCTCAGACGCAAGTCCACGTATGCGATCAATGAAGTCATGGCTCCATCAAGCTCATCGTCGATGCAGAACTTCGGCCTCGGATCCTCCCTCATCCCGCGATGCGACGATTGGCGACCTGTGCGTCACATTGCGCACGAAACTTTGAAAGGGGGCGGGAATGTAAGCCTTGCGTGAGCCGAGTGGTCAGCTTTTTGTCGATCGCGCGCTTCGCCGCGGGAGTGCCTGCCAAGACTGCTGTGCGGCTGTTGAGTCAGGGGCGACAAAGGGCAAGCAAGTGGCTGCATGTGTGTTAGGGAAGATGGTAGATCGGGAGAGCGCGCGAGTTTCGAAGAAGTAGGGGATGCTGGGACAGTCGTTGCCATGCGTCTTTGCAGTGGCTTCAAAGTTTGGACTATGGACGTGGCAGGGATGTGAGGACCCGCGTTCAGGGTCTATGGAATTGTTAAGCAGAAAGTTTGCGAATGCGAACTACGCATCGCATTCAGACAGTCTAAATGCAAATGTCTACTAGTTCATGAGAGTAAAGTTGATCTGCGCTGCACATCCACTCTCTTTCACGTCCCAAGGTTGATTAGCAAGACCGCGCTTGCCTCTACTCATGCATGCTTGCCAAGACGTCCGACCCGGAGTGCTCGACCCCAGCACGAGGCCATGTCACCCCCATCACGCCTTCCCGGTACGAGTGGAGGGACGTAGGACAACATTGAGGACTTCGCAGACTGGAATCCAGGATGTCGCACGTTAATGGCACGACTAACGGCGCAGCAAAGCGCAGCGCAAGCCAGAAGATACTGAACGACGCGGTGGGCGTGACCAAGAACCACGAGGGAGATGAAAAGACAGATTACACAAGATGGAGGCTCAAGGACGACCGAGGATGTCAGACATGGCACTATCTGCAAAGCGACGAGGAAATGAAGTCGTGGCCGCAGAGTACAGCGGACAAGTACTTCCTAGGCCTCGACACGGTGCGTGTGCACCTCTTCTGACCGTGCAGACACCAGTAACTGACGTGGACCTCAGGAACAACCAGCCCTTGCATCCGCAAAGACCCCCCTTGAAGCTGCGCACAATGGCCTCACGTTCTTCTCCCAACTCCAACTCCCACCTGGCAACTGGGCTTGCGAATACGGCGGTCCCATGTTCCTCCTCCCCGGCCTCGTAGTCACTTGGTATGTCACCGAGACACCGATACCAGCGTCGCATGCGATCGAGATCAAGAACTACCTCTTTGCCCGCGCGAATCCAGAAGACGGCGGCTGGGGGCTACATATCGAGGGAGAGAGTACCGTGTTTGGTACGGCAATGAACTATACCGTCCTCAGGCTGCTTGGCGTCGACGCAGAAGACCCCAGAATGCGGAAGGCGCGGGACACACTTTGGAAGCTAGGTGGCGCGCTCAACGGTCCGCATTGGGCAAAGTTCTGGTTGAGCGTGTTGGGTGTGACGGAATGGGACGTTGTCAACCCCTGTCCACCTGAGCTGTGGCTGCTGCCAGACTGGGTCCCTATCGCGCCGTGGAGGTGGTGGATACATATGCGACAGGTCTTTCTGCCCATGTCCTACGTCTACTCCAAGAAGTGGTCATACCCGCTTAATGACCTTACACGTCAACTGCGGGCCGAACTGTTGATGGAGCCATTTGAGAACATCAACTTTGGCGCACGGCGGAATACCATTGCCCCGACGGACAACTACCATGCGAAATCTTGGATGCTCAAGGTCCTCTTTTGGTTCATGGCCGCTATATGGTTCCCATACATCAGGCCCACTTGGATGGTGAAGCGGGCTGAAGAGCATGTATGGTGGCTGATCGAAGCCGAGGATGAGAACACCGACTTCGCCAATCTGGGTCCTGTCAACGGTCCCATGAACATGTTGGCTGCTTACATCAAAGAAGGACCCAAGTCTCGTCCTGTTCGCGAGCATCTCAAGACACTTCCGGAGTTCCTCTGGGTAAAGGATGAAGGCATGCTTATGAACGGTACAAACGGTGTACAGACGTGGGACACCGCGTTCCTTATCCAAGCTGTTGACTCTTGCGGCTGGTCAAAGGATACGAAATGGAAGCATATGCTTACGAAGAGTCTTGAGTTCCTAGAAGACCAGCAGATTCTTGAGGAAACCAGAGACCAGCATGCATGCTACCGTCAACAACGCAAAGGTGCCTGGGGCTTCAGTACACGAAAGCAGGGCTACACAGTCAGCGACTGTACATCCGAGGGTCTCAAGAGCACACTTATCCTCCAGAGGGATAACGCATTCCCTGAACTTATCAACGAACGCCGCGTGAAAGATGCCATCGACGTCCTGCTGACTATGCAGAACGCTTCTGGTGGCTGTGCTTCTTATGAGCCGACACGGGGTAGCATACTCCTTGAACATCTCAACGCAGCAGAAGTCTTCGGCAACATCATGATCGAGTACGACTACCCTGAATGCACAACCGCTGTCGTGACCGCCCTCGACATGTTCCAACATCATTACCCCGATTACCGTGCCGCGGAAATCTCTGCCTTCCGCGACCGCGCGGTGGCATACATCCGCGCCGCCCAACGCCCAGATGGATCTTGGTACGGCAGCTGGGGTATCTGTTTTACCTATGCCGGCATGTTTGCTCTTGAGTCACTCAAGTGCTCTGGAGAGCAGTACAGCAACTCTGAACGTGTGAGAAGGGCGTGTCAGTTCTTCCTAGACAAGCAAATGGAAGATGGAGGCTGGGGCGAGACGTACAAGAGCTGTGAGACCGGTGTCTGGCAGCAGCATCCGCGCAGTCAGGTTGTGCAGACTGCTTGGGTAGTCATCGCAATGATTGAGGGCGGGTTCCCACACAAGGAGCCGCTCGAGAGGGCTGTCAAGCTCATCATGCAGAGGCAGCAAGCGAATGGAGAGTGGCTGCAGGAGGCTATTGAGGGAGTGTTCAATAAGTCTTGGTAAGTTGGCACATTGTTGACTGATAACGAACGGTGGCTAACTTGATGGCAGTATGATCTCTTATCCGAACTACAAGTTCATCTTCCCGATCAAGGCGCTGGGCATGTATGCAAAGCACTTTGGCGATGACGCAGTGCTTTAAATCAGTTTCCACGGATCTAGCTCTACAGTTGGTAATCTTGGGGTGAGAATAGTTGCGGATGGGCGGAGTTGCATACACCGACTCGATAATACTAATAGAACGATCAAGCTCCTGTACTTGCAAGGAGCATACAAACTAATTTGCGACATGACTTCAGTGTTATCACAATACTTACCATGATAATATCGTCCTTTTCATGAGCTCGATCATCATGCGGTACTGCAACGTCTTCAAAACTGACGCATCTCTTACGACAAAGAATAGCTGGGTCGCGCTCGAGAACATGCTTTGCGCATACAAAGCTCAGTTTTTGGTGTTTCCCTCTATGCCCACAAACAAGACTACATCACTACGACTAGCCGCTTTGAGCGCGCCAACAACAAACCGATTGGTACCTATTGCTACCAGAACTATAACTATAAGTATGTCTGTAAATCCCGTATGAAAGACCTCTAGAAGCACTGCGAATAGCTCAGCCTTGTACTCATAAGATGGATCGAACGCACAGCGATCGGCAAGACGGCGGCGACGGCCTCCCACCTAGACGAACAGAAGACAACGCTACTGTCGACGATGGCGAAGAGCAATCTGATTTCGCACCTCGACAGGGAGGAGAACGTGGTCGGGGAGGCGGCCTCGGTCGCGCTGGTCGAATGAACACAATCTCAGAAGAACCACCTTTGACTAGCCATGACCAAGGACAAGACACGACCAACATCGCAGAAACAACGCCATCCCGCCTCGAGCGCAGAGCTGCCGAAATCCGCGATTTCAACCGCCGACGCAGGGCGCATGGTCAGACAAACTCGGACACCTCTGGAAACACGCCTTACACGCAGGGGGTTGGCCGTCCGTTGGAGAGCCCTGAAAGTTCCCTTGACGCTAGCATGAATCGCGCTCGTTCTAATGCGATATGCCCTGGTTTTACGTCGAGACCGGAAGACGGGGAGAGGCACAGAGCGAACTTGGAGAGAAGGGCATGGATTGCCGCGGGTAGAAACTCTAGGCCGATGGAAGAGAGGGAGATGAACAGGTTCAACAGGCACCAGACAACTTATCAATTCCGGGCTCATAAGGGATTTCCTCCCAACGGCACGGGGACGCGGGGGTTGTATGCTGGACAATACCCCATCCCATATGTGAATTCAGCTACTGGAGGAGCGGTTGCGGGAACGGGCGGTTACACACCTTTTGGCAGCGACAACTTCCAAAGTAGCGTTCCAGACCAGTCGTCTCCTCGCGACGATGGTAGAAGCGCCGCTGTCTACGACCCTGGCAGCTTTGAGGATACGGATCAATTCTACGTCGAGCCGGCTCCTAAGCCTGAGGACGCCAATCTTAAGGCTGTGGGGTCTCAGCTGGAGGGTAAACTTGGGGGTAACTCCAATCCTCCCAAGCTCAAGGATGAACCGGATGATAAGCAGAGTGGAGGAAGAGGGCCAGGCGCGCCTGGACAGGCTACTTGAGAGGTGCCTCTTGCTGGTTATGGAACGGCGTAGTCGTTTAGTTAGAGACATACATAGAAGCAGAGGGTGTGGCATAGAGTCAGCAGGTCGTCGATAAGTTAGGTGGGTGGGACAGATTTGGTAGCTTCGAAGGGTTTCGGGAGGGAATGGATTTCAAGTAGTAGACAAGAAGGAGATACTCATAGTAACAGCATCATAGAGAGGCTCCTGACGTGGGTGTGGATGTCTTCAGGCATCTCTTCGACAGCTGGCAGAATTCCTGAGAGGTGAATCAAACGACAAGAGCACTGGCAATTGATATGCGGCTCGCAGCTTTGACAGTCCGGTTGCTCTTGCACTTTGGTGACGCGTAAGGTGAGATGAGGGGAGAGGCACAGCATTAACCTAATACGTATTAGCGTCGGCACCTATCAAGCACGCTCCGATCTCGTCACCTTCTAGCACCGGTAAATGTCCCTCTCCTATGTTCGGTAGGTACTACCCCGCTGGAGCGGCCCCGCAAGACTCCACGTGCTGTACGATGAACCTGCATCTCTGGGTGCTGGCGATGCACGACGTATCTTCGTTTCCAGACATTGCACATGCTCGCGGACTCTTTGGGCTTTCTTAATCTATCATGACTTCCAATTCGACCATTCCACACCTCCGACAACATGAAAACACCAAGCAACTTATTGTTGATGGCAAGCCATACCTTATGTTGGGCGGAGAACTGCAAAACTCGTCGCTTTCGTCTGCCGAATACATGAGCGAGATCTGGCCCAAGATGGTCGCAACGAATGTCAATACTCTACTTGGCTCTGTCAGTTGGGAGATGGTCGAGCCTGAAGAGGGAAAGTTCGACTTTGAAGAGCTGGACAAAGTCATATTGGACGCTCGAGAACACGCCTTGCACCTAATCTTGTTGTGGTTCGGATCTTTCAAAAATGGTATGTTGGTATATCTTCGCGGCCTCTCTCCACACCCTGACACGTACATGGCTAGGCAGATCGACGTACACCCCATCATGGGTGAAGACGAATCCAAAACGCTTCCCTCGTGCCGAACTTAGACAGGCGGGAGGTGTGATTGAGGTTGCGGATGTGCTGTCCCTTTTCAATGAGGAGAACGTTGAAGCGGACGCAAAAGCATTCCGAAAGTTGCTTAGTCACCTCAAAGAGGTAGACGAGAAACATAGTACTGTGTTGATGGTGCAAGTCGAAAACGAGGTCGGCCTGTTGTTTGACAGTCGCGACGGAAGTGGCGAGGCCAACAGAGTCTTCTCCGAGCCGGTGCCCGCAGAACTTCTCCAATTCTTGAGCCGCGATTACGATCAATTACATCCTGATCTAAAAGCCAACCTCAGGACCTTTGTCGCACGATCGAAGCCACAATCTGGCACTTGGGAGGAAGTGTTCGGTGTCGGTAGCAGGACTGACGAGCTCTTCATGGCATATCATTATGCACACTACGTGAACCGTGTGGCAGCAGCCGGAAAAGTGGAGTATCCCATTCCGCTATACACAAACGTATGGCAGAACTATGCGGGAGATGATGCCGATAACGATACCCCCATTGTAGTTGGTGGTGGTGGTCATCCAGGAGATTATCCGTCAGGTGGCGGCACAGTCAATGTCCTCGATATTTGGCTGCAATTCGCACCTGACCTCGAATTCATCGCGCCCGATATCTACCTTAATGAGTACACTAGCTTATGCGGCAAGTACCGACATCGTGGAAATACTCTGTTCATCCCGGAGCAGCGACGAGATGAATACGGGGTTCGGCGCATCTGGATAGCTTACGGAACATTCCAGGCTCTTTTGGCCAGTCCCTTTGGCATCGATACTTTGGAGCCGGAAACCAATCCTTACACAAAGCACTATGGGCTACTATCACAAGTCTCTCAAATCGTACTGGAAGCGCAACGTAACCCAGGCTCGTCGGTGGGTTTTTGTTTTGACGAAGTCACCGGCGACAAAGATCCATCAAAACCCATCAAGCAGCGTTTTGGCGATTGGGATATCACTATTGAGCGTTCTTTCGTTTTTGGCAAGCCCGGGACCGGTAGCGGCATGGTCATTCATCGTGGCGGTGCACGATTTTTACTTATTGGTTGGGGCTTTCAAGTGATGGGTCAATCGACTAGGGCTGACACGAAGTTTAACGGCATCCTGAAGAACGAAGAAAAGGTCGTGGAAGATATAGCGACAGGAAAGTTACGGACACTGAGGACCTTAGGTGGCGATGAGACGAGGAGTGGAGCCAACGCGATGATGCCGAATGAGGATCCTGACTATGGAGGATTTCCTATCGCTATTACAATTCCGGCCAGAACGGGCATCGCTGAGGTGGAATTCTACTCTTTTTAAGCTTTGGTACTAGATGAACTCGGTGTCGTTAAAGGATGACGGGGGATTTCCCATGGAAGAAGAGATCAACACCAATAGTGACCAGCCAGCTGGGCGCCTAAACGGGAGCGCGGCAGGTTAAGATTGCGAAGGATTCTGGCCCCTGGGCATAAGGCACAACTCACTTTTGTATCAACACATTCATTGAGCGACGCTGTCGTCTGCGTCCTTCAAAACTGCTTCCAAAATCTTACCTGAAGATGGCCCGTTGTTCTTGGTGTTTAGTCGCAGCCTTGGCTGCCTGTCGATCAGCCTTTGCCCAGACCGCGGCAACGGCTGTCGCGTCCTCCACGCCCGCATCATCAGCCCAAATCCAAGCACCAACATCAAACCTTCCAGCTCTCGAAATCGACGTCATCTTTCCTCGCGAAAATGAAACGTACGACTTTACCTCATCGTTACCCATCGTGTTCGCATTCCAGAATTTGACCGCGGCCGCTGAGCTTGGCCCCTTCACTTTTGCATGGGATATCATGCAAGTAATTGCCTATTTACGAACTGCATGTGAGACAAACACTGACTTCGTACACCCATCTTCAGGCCGTATCACACCATCGATGACCCAATACCAGGAGGTGTCATAGAGGATCAATGGTCGATAGGCTTTACTTCGGATAACGCATCCACGTTTACAACGTCTGATGGATCGCCATATGTCCTTGTCAACCACACGAATCCTAGGGATTGGGTCCATGGACCAAACTATGGAGGAAATGCATACTCATTGAGGTGGTACATCCTGTGGGGTGACGTGAATAAAGGATGCGACCACCCTCGGCCTGACATTGGTGTTTCGCATGACACAAAACTTCTCTTTACGCTTCTTCCAGCGTGGCCTAACGAGTGGAAGGCGCCCGACCCAACTGCCTTCGGGAATGTTACAGGCAATTGTGCGCAACTGGGTACTTTCGCTATGATTGACGCAAATGAGTCGGACTTGTGTTCGCTGGATCAGCTACAGTGGGGAGATGGGAACCCATGTGCCATCAAGCCTGATGGGCCTATGTTAACAAGCATGTCCATTGCGGTGGCGAGCTTGTCTTCTGAGCAAAGCGTGGCTACTGCGACTCCAACTACTACCGAATCGTCTACCACGTCGAACGCGGCGTTCGCAACAGGTGTGCCAATTCAGCCAGCGCTCGCTGCGGCCTTCGTTGTTGGTGGATGGGAGCTGTTCCCGCTGTAGGGGTGTTATCGTACACAATGTTACATTTCTGGTGTGTCATATTACTATCTCGAGGGTCGACTTTCAGCCCAAAATTCGGTCGTAATCATGAGCGTATGCAGCAATGCGTCAGGAGAAACTGCTTGCTCATAGGTGCATCCAATGTGCGTAAGGCAAAGGATATGCGGGTGTTTGCCTGCTTTTCTATGCGCTTATTAACCCTGGCATTGCTGCCTGCGCAGTGTGTACAGCCCCGCCGCCTTTCAAGACGCATCACTGAAGGACACCACATCTTAGCATGCCCAACGTCAGAACATATGACAGCTATTGTTCCGATGGCTTACTTCTCGTTCTTAGCATTACCCCCGGAATTGCGCATTATGATTTACTCATATTTCCTACCTACGAGCGATGGCAAACAGCCTTTCGTCGGCCTCCGTCGGACTTGTCGAATAATCAAACATGAGATCGACTATGAAGCTTTGAGACGCTCGTGTCGCCTCATTCGGCGTGCAAATCCAAACTACACTTTGTCAGTCGGTGCTCTGGACATGCGACACATGAACATGGTCATACGAAACGAGGCCGAGCAGCGACGGCGGAACTTTGACACCCTGAATTTATCATGGTGGGAATATCTGCCCAAGTACTCAAGAGTTGATATCGTATACGAGTCCTGTGGACAGCGCAGCATCGATGACCCGGCATTTACCTCAATTTGTCGGGTTATCGCTAAACCATTCAGGAGACCTCGTATAGCTCAGAGCCTCCCAGCCCCATTTTGCGTCAAATTCCAAAAGCCTGGGGAAAATATCGCTTCGTGGTCAGACAATTGGTTTCTTTCATTCTTTCGTCCTCGAAGAGATGCGACAGAGTACATGTCAACAACAGCAAAGTACTACGGTATGGATGATTCACTCACAGCCTGCGAATGGGAGAATTCCACAGATATGTTTGCGATGCTACCTTTTTTATTCCTGGTTCTGGCGATACTGGTCGGTTTTTTGGTGTCCGGCTTGTATCTTGCATTCGCTGTGGCACTTTTTGTACACGATGTCTTCATGAGCATACTGTCACTGATCTTGGTCAGAGTCAGCGTCAGTTGAGCTGATGATAGTTTGTCGATCATGAAGGAAGGGATGTTTTGATTCACAGAAAAGACTGCACGATGGCACACAGGTTAGGAATCAAAGCTGTGCAAAGAGTTTGTGTGATTGCAGCTGGGCTTGTCGGTTGAGACTGCCATCTGTCATACTACCATGTTCATTGCTATCACTTCGTGATCATCTCTCATTCCTTAACAGTCCCTCTGTTCGTGATATCACTCATCTCTTTCTCATAGTCGTGTACTTATTCGAAATAATCCCAGACCTAATCCGACCAGATCTTGACCCTATTTGCGAATGATCGTCGACTAGCTTAAGCTGGAGTGCTCGCCTATAAAG